ATGTGAGACCATTGGGCCCCGATTGGCTGCTCTTTGCAGTCTTTCTCTGACTGGCTGCTCCCTGCACTGCCTCCCTCGGCTGATTTTAACCCCTTCCCTGAGGTGAACACCCCATCACATGGCTAAACAAAGTTATTACCTCACAGCCCTTCATAAGACCTTAAGGTCTGTATGAATTGGTAGCATTCCAGTTGACTTAACAAAACTATCTGCTGACTTTCAGAGGTGTAGGAAAGAGTACCTTGCTAAGATTAGGGGTGAGGTTCATATTTCATAGCTGAAGAATATCCTTGTGTGCAATGGCACATTTGAAAAACATAGGAAAAATGTAAGGAGAGCAATGGTTACAAAAACATGGAATTAAGCTGAAGGTGTCTAAATCTAACCTCTTTAAGAGTAAGGTACATTATATGGGAATGGTGGTGTACACTGAAAGTTATAAGATGGATTCAGTGGACAAAGTAGTTGTACATGCCCTACCATAGGGGAACTTCCTAAGCATCTGTAGTTTTGTACCTATCAGAGGTATATTCAAGACATTTCTAGAACAAACCCAGTGTATGACTTTTTGTCTGTTCCATTGGGATCTGACCAAAAGCACCCTGAAAAGTGGACACATAAGCAGAAGAAGAAGACACAAAGGAAAAGGAAAGGTGTCTGGACAAATACCCTCCAACTAGCTGGTTAAATGGACTGAGCAACATTAAAAGTTTTAAACCAGCTGATTGACTGCCTGGTACAGCTATCAATAATAGCATACCCTGATTTTACCTTACCCTTTGACCCCTGTGGATGCTTCCAGTAAGGGAGTAGGTGCAGTCCTATTCCAATATCAAGAAAATAAACTATGAGTCATTGGTTATGTGTCAAGAACATTACAGCCAAGAAGAATTATCACCTTCACTGACAGAAGCTGGGGTTTCTAGCTATGAAACAGTCTGAAACCAACATATTTTGTGACTATCTCTGAAGGTTTATAATGTGCTGAGGCCACAGGGAAGTGGCCCAGGGAATTGAAGCAGCTCTGGTGGAGACATTAAGGAGAGGCAGCCGGAGACTGCTATCAACAGAGTCCCTGGGCTGCGACCTGGAGTAGTGGGCAGGCCCGGGTTCCCCCCACTCATCACTGGTGAACTGGTTACAGGTCAACCTTCCTTACAGGTAGGAAGTTGACCTGTAAACCAATGTTTTTACCTCTTCAAGATTCAATACCACAGCAGACCGGTGGGTTGCAATATTAGCTAACTTGAACTCCAGAGTTACATATTGTCTGGAAAACTCTAATGTGCAGGTAAGTGCTTTGACCAGCATGTCACTTGATATGAAAAGATATATAACTAAATGCACTGAAGAGACTGCCAAAGATGTTATTAATGCTTAAACAAAGTCACCAAAGAACTTGTCTGCCACAGTCTTGCTTGACTTGGTAGTGGTAGGATAGGCTTGGACAAACCTAGCAAAGTGACCCACTATGACAGTATTACTGCTCTCTTTTTGCTTGTTTCCAGATACAAGAACTCAACTAATACTAGTTCAGCGGGTTCTGTTTGACTACATTAGTTACTGGTGGTTGTGTAAGTTAGTGAGATTTCTTTTGCTCTAGAATCATAGAATATCAGGGTTGGAAGGGACCTCAGGAGGTCATCTAGTCCAACCCCCTGCTCAAAGCAGGACTAATCCCCAACTAAATCATCCCAGCCAGGGCTTTGTCAAGCCTGACCTTAAAAACCTCTAAGGAAGGAGATTCCATCACCTACCTAGGTAACCCATTCCAGTGCTTCACCACCCTCCTAGTGAAAAAGTTTTTCCTAATATCCAACCTAAACCTCCCACACTGCAACTTGAGACCATTACTTCTTGTTCTGTCATCTGGTACCACTGAGAACAGTCTAGATCCATCCTCTTTGGAACCCCCTTTCAGGTAGTTGAAAGCAGCTATCAAATCCCCCCTTCACTCTTCCCTTCTGCAGACTAAACAATCCCAGTCCCCTCAGCCTCTCCTCATAAGTCATGTGCTCCAGACCCTAATCATTTTGTTGCCCTCCGCTGGACTCTTTCCAATTTTTCCACATCCTTCTTGTAGTGTGGGGCCCAAAACTGGACACAGTACTCCAGATGAGGCCTCACCAATGTCGAATAGAGGGGAATGATCACGTCCGTCGATCTGCTGGCAATGCCCCTACTTATACCGCCCAAAATGCCGTTAGCCTTCTTGACAACAAGGGCACATTGTTGACTCATATCCAGCTTCTCGTCCATTGCAACCCCTAGGTCCTTTTCTGCAGAACTGCTGCCTAGCCATTCGGTCCCTAGTCTGTAGCAGTGCATGGGATTCTTCCGTCCTAAGTGCAGGACTCTGCACTTGTCCTTTTTGAACTTCATCAGATTCTACTTTCATTCAGTTTACATCTACTTTCATTCAGTCTTTGGTGACATGATGTTTAATATCCCTTTTCATTTATGGTCAATATAAATGATCTTACAAAATTCGGTATTTGTTCTGTTCCTAGTTGTTCCATCTCTTCTTGATATTCTTGCTTTTTGCATTTTTCAGGTGATGCCAGTAGGTGGTTGTTTTTTGCTTGTTTTTTCAATAAAGTATTCCATCTTTACCTAAATGAAAGCAATGCCGTTCACCCATGAGGGCTGATTTCTTACCACATCCTCCTGGTTTTGCTCTGTTATTAGGCTTCAGCCCCACGGACTTATAATTTAGAAAGGTTAATAATAGGTGGATCTTCCTTCTGGGCTGCTAAAACATCTTCTAATAAAATAGGCTTTATGGTGGATTTAATGCCCATGGAGAAGAAGTCTACTGCAGAAGGGTTGTTACTAATTCCCACTAACCATAATGTGTTGCCAGCTCTTTCTGGACCCAGTTTTTTGTTCATGAAGGTTGTCTGCTTTGTTTTTCAAGAAGTGAAGTTGATTAAAAAGGAAATTAAATGTATTTAATTAACTGTAATAATAAGTATGCAGAGAGTGCTAATATAAGATACAGATTTGTAACGCTGTTAAGTGAGGTACAATATACATTTCTTTCCAATCTGTCACAGCTTGAGTGTGAGAGACTTCTGATAGGTGACCATGTGTATAAGATTTGTCACTTATAACAATGAATTGTTCCTACTATTTCTGACACATTGTTACAAGTGAATGAAGACAGACAATCAGCAGGGCAATGATTTTATCACAGTTTTATTAAAGTAAAAAGTAAAAAATTGAGTCCCAATTTACTTCAGACTGCAACCATAGTCTGTCCAGCTAGATTCTTTGCCTTGTTCCAGAAATTGTAACCTGAAGCACCATTCTTTGCAGTGGGCTGGCAAGATGTGAAAAAACAAAAACAAGCACCCTCAAAATAGTTATTTTTATAGAAAAGAATCCGAAATGTTATGGACCAGATTCTCAGTTGTGATCCAGACCCTTTGCACTGCTTAGGCAGCACAAAGGGGCCAGAATCTGGCCATAACTGGACAGCTGAGAGTTCTCCTGGTCAGAGAACTCTCAGCTGGTAGGTGTAAAGCTGGTGGACCCAGCTCCTGTGCTAACCACTTCATCTACTTTCCCAGCATAGGAGGCATACTGCAGGGCACCCGGCCCCTTTCATGCCCTGCAGAACTCCAGTATGCTATGCCAGTCCTCCACTAGCATAAATTAGGGTGATTGAACTCATGTTGGGGCTGAGGCTAGTGTAGACCAACTCTTAGAGTCAAGGAGCCATAACTGGTTCCCTGATTTTACTGCCACCCACCACTCTCTGGCATCAAGTGAATCTTTGGCTGCAAGAGAGAATGTAGCCTATGAATTCTTGTCAAATTTCACTGATGTTAATAATCAGTCAGCTATCATTATGCAAAGTAGGAAGTTGGCCATGATCATTTTATTGCTCAAAATAAAGCTATGAATCTACAGTGCATATACAGATATAGATAGATAGATATACATATGGAACAATCCTTTGGTCACTGTGACAGATATGGCAATTTCCTGTAATATCCTGGACAAACCTCATTGAATTAAATTAAACCTTATTGAATTAAGTTTTAGCATTTTAGGAGTTCACTGTCTTAAAATGCCAATTTTTATGGATTATTGTGGGGTTGTATGAAACGTCACTAGGGAGGAGACAAGGCTAATGTAAATGCTGGTAAGTTTTCTGAGCTTCAAAAGAGTCTTTTAAACAATATCCAGATAAGAATGAACCTTTAGTTGACTGGGTTTCCCAGGAAATACTTGAGAGGAGGGGATGGCAACTTCTCATCTCTAGACCCAACCTTTGTAGCTACATTCTGAGGAGAAACCCATTGTCTGCTGATCACCTGTTACAAGAGGACAAGATCCAAGGCCCAAACTGGATAAAGCAGTGGCTCACAAATTCATGGGAGCGCTTGTTCTGAATGAAAGCTCTTATGAACTTGTGATCACAGAAAAACTTTTTGGTGGGGTTTGAAGGACTGATCTCCTGCCAGAGTCCTTGCTGGGGTTGAGGTGATCTCTGGCATCCATATAGGTTCTTTTATTGTTTCTGATATGTTTTCTCTGCAATGCTTTCACCTTAAGAATAAACGTGCTTGCTTAGAAAGAGCTGTGTGGTACCTTCATTGTGGCAATGACACGATTTATAGTCTTTGAGGAGAAGACAAAGCAGTCCTGTTTAGAAAGTCTGTCTTGCTGGGGAATTCACAGTGTAGGCAGGAAAGTGTGCAATATGGAAAAGCCCCATTCAGGAGGGAAAGAGGCACAGGTGTCTGCCAATACAGGTGATGGCAGGGAAGCTGGAGGCCTGAGTGTGGGTGCCCTTGCTGGACTATGATGAGGGAAATACAGGTGCAGTTGCCCTGAACTGTGACAGTCTCATTCTAGAGGGAAAAAAGAAAATTGGCACACATATCACCCTTTATGTGTTTGAATCTTCTTATGGTGATCCAAGAGAGTCCATCTGCTCCCTCCTCTGTGGGTTCCTTTATTCGTTTTACCTTTTTCTCATTCTGTGACAGGTGAGGAACGATCTGACTGGTGTTCTGTATGGTGAAGACATCGAAATTTCAGATACTGAGAGTTTCTCCAATGATCCCTGCACCAATGTCAAAAAGCTCAAGGTATGTGCAATTGCTGTAATGTAGACTGATTACTCAGTCAGAAGAGTGAAAAGGTATCAGCAATGCATCTGTCATAACATTTGATTGGTTTATTTACATTTTTTTTCCTTCAAGAAAACTGATAAAGCAGGATTCATTTAAAAGTTATATTTGCCAAAAGACCTAATAGTACTAACAAGTGGCATTTTGAAGCCAAGTCATGCTCCCAGTCAGTGAAGTCTGTTACATACTTAATGTTCATGTTGTGCCTAATTTAAACACAGAAATAAGTAAGTAGGCTTATATAAGTTGCTACCTATTGAACCAAACAAATATATTGTTTAATACTAAATACTTACACTGGGAACCTAAATCTAGGTGAGGTATACATACCTGTACCCAATAGTGGTTTATTTTAAAAGGACTTTATGTCCAAATCATTCAGTGAATACAGTCTAAATGTTTTTATTGTTTTCAGTTGGTTTTGGATTGAGTTCTTTGTTAGTAATTATCTTTTCTGTTTCCTAGAAAGCAAATTATTCAAGGATAAATTTGATATTGAAATTATTTATCATTCTGATTTATTTTATTACAGTGATTTCTTAAATACATGGTAACTGAGTGTCAATAAATAATTAAAAGCCTGCAGAGTATTACAAGGAATATGTAATAGAAACTGTTTTGCTTGTTTTTAATTCCCTTTACATTTTGTTACAAAATTAAAAGACAATCACATAAATGCAGAGCCAACAATACCATAGTCATAGAAAACATGAATACCCAAAAAAAAAAGGACTGCAAGGAAGTCTTTCCCCCACCCACTCCATGTCCATGCCTACACACACTTAACCGCTATTGTTAAATAGCAAGGATTAAGCTGTTATTCATGCCAAACACATATGCTTCAGGTAATGGAAACCCAGGCCTAGGGTCCAGTCTTGCAAACACTTAAACACATCCTTTTTAGCATACAAGTAGTCCCAACAAACTCAACAAGACTATTCACATGCTTAAAGTTAAGTATATATGCAAGTCTTTGCAGGAATGAGGCCTGCTGAAGCCAATAGAAAAGGGGCTAGGGAGGACCAAGAGGTAAGTTTCAGTCCTACTCCCATTTTAGTCTGTCTAAGAACTCCCCTTGATTTCATTGGTACAGGATCAAGCCCTTAAACAGCAAATAGCCAGAGATCATATAACTAAAGGCTTTATTGTAAGCTAGGCACGAGGGGCAGAGTTTGTTTTTGTGCAGCCCTAACTTTGTCATTTCTTGACTTTTGAGTGCATAACTATACAATCTCAGTGTTCTCTTGACATCTTGTTTTTATCCCATTAACAAACAATATTTAATTGGCTCTCAACACAGCACATGCACATGCAGGGTCAGCATCCAAACCTTATCCCTTTTCAGAGGTTTTCCTTTATTCTTAGCCAGGGCCGGCTCCAGGGTTTTTGCTGCCCCAAGCGGCGCAATAAATAAATAAATAAATAAAGTCGCGATCTGCGGTGGCAATTCGGCAGGAGGTCCTTCGCTCCGAGTGGGAGTGAGGGACCATCCGCTGAATTGTCGCCGAATAGCTGGATGTGCCGCCCCTCTCCGGAGTGGCCGCTCCAAGCACCTGCTTGGCAAGCTGATGCCTGGAGCCGGCCCTGTTCTTAGCAACAAAACATAAATCACTAAGTGCTAAGCTTCCTCCTGAATTTAGCTGTTCCTATGGATCTCCAAGACAGATTTCTGTGTCCTTGCCTTGAATTTCATCTCCCTCAGATAGAGTCCAGCCCCTTTTACATTCCCTTTTTTTTTGAGCTAAGATGGCTGGCTAAGGACAGTTGTCAAAATAGGTCTGCATTTCTAGACAGGATTCTAGTACCTGACACTATGGGTCTGTCTACACAGCAAGCCTTCAAGCCTGGCTTCAGAGCCTGAGCTCCAGACCCTGAGCTCCAGACCCAGCCACAACATCTATCAGCTACTTTTAGTGCAGTAGTGCAAGCCCCATGTGCTTTAGGCTGGGCACTGAGACTTGCTGCTGTGGGCTGCCTCACTTTGCATAGAAGTACCCTGATCATGATGATCCAGCAGCAGGAGTTCCAAAAGGAAATGCTACAGCAGATAGTACCAACCCTATGCCTGCAGGGAGGAATGGGGTGGGGTCATGCTTCCACTTAAGGGGTCCCTCTGCCTATACTAGTGAAGCTCACCAAGATGGGACCAGAAGATGACCCTACAGCCTTTTTAGTCACATTTGAGAGGGTAGCACTGACAGCCCAGTCACTCCCAGAACAACGGGCTCTTATCCTAATCCCATACCTCATCGGTCAGGCACAGGCTGCCTACCGTAATCTGGACACTGACCAGGCAAGGGATTACAAGCAAGTGAAAAGTCCGCTATCTTGAATTATTTGGATATTTTGGAAGAGACCCATAGCCAGTGGTTTAGGGCCAAAAGATACCCCATTCGGGGATGACCCCGAATGTTACCACTGTGACGGGTTGGACCCCTTGGGAAGCCACCTGATGTGCTGAGATACCACTGAGTCTACCTGTTCTGCCAGTGTGGGCCCCCTTTAACCTGTCTTGCTGAGCCAGGCTCTTAAAACCTCCTCTAACAAAAACACAGGCATGGCCACACTCAGCTGCAGATCAGCTCTGGGAAAATTCAGTTTCAGGGACTTGCTCCCGCACTCAGATGTCCACCTCCCTTGGAGTGCAGATCCAAAGATATATTATGAAATTTGCCCCCTCCCTCAATGTGGAGAGAGGTGTGCACACTTCTTCTCCCCCCACCCCCCAGTTAGAAATTCCAGAAACTGGGTTCAATAATAAACAAAATATAAGAGGCAGATTTTAAGTGGTAAAAGGGGTAACAAACAGAACAAAGCAGATTACTAAGCAAATGAAATTAAACACGCAAACTAAACTAGTTTCACTAAAGAAATTGGTTACAAATAGTATTTCTCACTCTAAATACTGTTGCAGACAGTTTTCAAAGTTTCTGTGGTTTAGAGATCCCATTATATTCCTTTTCAGACTGGACTCTTGTCTTAGTCTGGACTCCCCCTTGCCTTCCCTTTTGCAGTCTTTCTTCTTGGGCAGACAGGCCATGGAGAGGAGGAGTCCTGTTTGCCTTCCTCCCCACCCTTAAATAGGATTTACATAAGATGGGAATCGTTTCCCAAATGTGAACACCTCCCCTTCCCTTACAGTGGAAAGTTACAAGAAGTCCCAGGTAATGTTTTAGTATCAGGTGACAAGACCACCTGACACTGTAGGATCACAGCGTCCATGAGTCAGTGGTAGTATGGAGCTTCCACAGGAAGGCCAAGCTTTTCACAGTCCATTGTTCTCGCTGATAGGCCATCTGCCCTGCCTGGCTTTCCCATTCTTGTACCTGAAGTGTTAGCAGTGGGCGTCCCCCCAAGTAGCATAGTTGAAATACAGATACATAGCCAATATTCCTAACTTCAGATACAGAAATGATACAGGCATACAAATTGGATAATCACATTCAGTAAATCATAACCTTTCCAATGATATCTCACATGAGCCATCTTGCATAAAGTACATCTGTTATGTCATTCATATCATAAGCATATTTTCATAAAGAATATGGAATGACATAACCACCACAATGACTGAAAGAACTCAAGTGGCTGAGGCAGTGAGTGGATACTACGGCATTGCCTTGGGATGCTATGAGAAATAATCAGGTTAATGGAGGATTTTGTAGAAGCTGAAGGGTCATTAAAGGCAGAATAACCCCGGACATCAGCAGGGCAAGGGACACAGGGGTGGGAGGGTGAGCCAAATCAATAGCAGTCTCTCCGAGGGGGTCAGTCATTCCTCAGGCCCAAGGCAGCCGTACGGGGACAAGGAGGCTGAGCATCAATGCAACACCACCACTGGGACCACCAGGCACCCTAGACAACTGAAACGGGGCTCACAGTCCAAGGTCTGGCCAGCAGCCCAGAGACAAGCTTCCCCCAACCTAAGAAAGAGGCCAGCAACCCCAGCCCATTAACATGCTATTCTTGTGGGGAGACAGGGCACATAAAGAGGGAGGCCCACTGATGGAATGGGAGCACACCCAGGGCTGGATATCAGAAACCTGGGCACAACCCTCCCTCCCCCCAAGTTGATGGTACTGGTGATGGTCCAAGGGAACCTGGTTCAAGGACTCTTGGACTCTGGCTGAAGCCAGATAGTGGTCCAGCCCTGCATGGTGTGAAGTGACACCCTCCCAAGACCACATTCTACCTTCAATGTATCCATAGTGATGTCAAGACCTACCCAAGCCAGGGGTTATAACTGACGGTGGGAGCCCATATAGAAAAGTTGGCTTACCTTGTGATCATAGGCTGGGACTGGCTTTTTTTTTTTTTTTTTTTTTGCGAGTCATTAATATCCAGGCTCAGGCCGCAAGTGAGAACAGGGGCCAATTGGTGACACCAACTCCCAAGAGCTTGGTAAGCCTTGAGAAAGCCAAGTATTCCAGGGAAGGGACATCCCATTCAACCCTCCGCAGATCCACACAGACGAAGAAGAGCAGACTATCAGGACCTGGAAGCCCTCCTATGGAGTGGGAATTTTGTGCTAGGAGAGAAGAACGACCCTTTAAGCCATGCATCTGAGCAACTGGCCCCCGTAGCTGGAGAAGTAACAGAGTCACAGGGAGGCAAATGGTACCTGCACTTTGCACTCAGAGAGGAGTGCTTGTACCGAATTGAGAAGAATCAGCAAGCTGTGGTGGTGATGGCCTGGCTGCTGGTACCGTGCAAGCACTGATGGGCTGTGTTGCAGCTGGTGCATGATATCCCATGTGTGGGACACCTGGGGAGAGAGAAGACATTGGCTCAGATATTAGCCAGATTCTACTGGCCAGGCGTGAACCATGAAGTGAGAGAACGCTGTTCCTCCTGCCCAGAGTGTCAACTAGCCAGCACCCTTGGTCCTTCTGCCCTTGATTGAGACCCCCTGTGACAAAGTGCAGGGTGTGAACAGGTGAGCCTGCACTCTGATCACT